AGTTTTGTTCCTTAGATATCATAAATAACTTATCCATCGATACAAAACTGAGATGATGTGAGACAATGAATCCTCACGCTGTTCAACATTGTTATTAAAATTATCTTCATTTATTTTTGGTTCACCCGTATTCAGAAGATGTTTGTTCACATTCATTTGTAGTTTCAACACCGAAAATTTATACGTTCTTCTAAAGCCATCTCCTACTCTACAATTTTATTTCGCTTTCCTCTAAATTTTGTTTGCAGAGATATCTTTAACACAATTTTCAAAAAGAAAACTTAGTGGGAAATTTTAAATTCTAACATTTGCCATTGTTTTTATTGATATTATATTATTATGATATCAATCCTTAATTTACCACAGTTACAAGCCACAGTTTATCACCAGCTGATTGACAAATTAATACCAATTGAGAAATTTCAGTATTAATAATAAACATCAATTAGTAAATTTCTGATTGATGCATGATTTGTATTTGATACCGGATGCTTTTTATTTTACATATTAACGATCTGAATTGATAAATTAACTCTAATCAGTATGATTACTAGTTGGATGGCATTTTACATGTGTAACTTATAAAACCTCTAGGTTTCGTTTAGCAACCTTAATTATAATTCAATTTTTATTAATATTGCAACTAATTACAATCCTGTAATGCTTATTTATCACTAGTTATAACTAATTACGATATTATCTTTATCTATGATCTTTACCTATAATTAGAATAATTTTTTAATATATGATTAGAAAAACTTAAAATAAAATAATATTATAAGGCTTATACCTTAGGAATTACCATCCCATATAAAACTTAAAAAGGTAAGTGATTATTATATCCATATCGTCAAATATATTTAAGAATTAAATTTGATCTTTATTTCTAATAATAGCTTAATTAAATAATATTATAGTAATATACTGCAGCTTATTATCATCATAACTACTTAAAAGTAGTATCTAATTTACTAATTATTGATTAATTATTTCCTTACTTGTATAAAAACTCTTAAATTTGAAAATAAAAGACAGTATCTATTACAGATCTATTAGTATAGACTAATTTTTTATTAATCCTAGTTTTATTTGTATTTACTTATTTTTTAAATTCAGTATTTAGATATGATTAATATTGATTAATAGATTAATTGACTAGTTTCTAATGTATATTAGTCAATATACCTACATATTTAGTTACAATAAAATTTTTATAAAAATTATTCAGTTTTATACTTCAGCTAAAATCTAAACCTGTAATTATTATAATATAATTTATAATAGAAGCTTAGTTATTATCAACTAAATTAAAGACGTTTATTTCAAAATAAACAAATAAATAATATTAATATAAAAGCCTATTTTTAAATGATTAAATATAATATAAATAGATCACATAATTATTAATTTATAAGAATAAGTAAATAAATCAAAAGCATAAGTAAAAGTTATAACAGATTAGTAGAAATAAAAAAGAATAAAAATCTTTTTGTATACTTTTTATAAAATTTAAAGTAAACTTTACTTTTAATAAAACTGTTATAACTTTTAATTATTATATAAATTATTGTTTTATATAATCTTAATAATATAATAAATTTAATAAAAAAATTTTTTTAAAAACTTATTTAAAAAAATTAATTAAAATAAAATAAAGTAATAACTTTTAATACTTTTATTTGATATTTTTTTTTATGAAAAATTTGTTAATATTATAATAAAATTGATTTATAATTAGTCAAATTCATAATGTAATACAATAAAAATTTTTAACTAATAAGACTAAATCCATTTTTAGTGATCTAAATTTCACAAAATTTAGCTTATTTTAAAGTTTTTAATGTCTGAAAAAAGATAGCTCTTTAATTAATTAAAATAAATAATTATAATATTACAACTAAATTGCAATATTATTAAAAATCAAGTTGCAAAAAGTGATTAATAAGCATCATAATATTATAATGTTATTTTTAATCCTAAATCTGATAATATAAGTTTAGCAATTTCTGACTAATTAGTTATATTTTATAAGCAAATTAAAACAGAAATAAAAAGGTTAAAATTTTTACTATTTGTTAATTATTGCATTTTTTTAATATTTTTTTTTGATATTTTAAATTAGCATTTAATATTTTATTCTTTTTTCAAAATTACTTTATACAGACTAAAAATCAGTTAAATAGGATGAAAAAGCTGAATAGTAATTTTAAGAAATATTGAATTTTAAATTTTTGTTTTTAATTATTTTATAATTTTTTATATATTTAGTCAATTTTATTTATATTAAGTTATTATTTATCAGAAATATATAATTCAGAAAAATGAAAATTTAAAAATTTAAAGTATTTAAAATGCAAAAAAGGTAAGTAATTGATTCAATTCTGTACTTATTATGATAAAATTGATTATTAACAAATATCATTAATTGTGATAGAATTGAAAGATATTAATAATTATCAAATATTATTAGTTATGATAAAGTTGAATAAGGTTACTTAGTTAAATTTATTTTAGATTTGACAAAATATTTAAACTTTAGTTTTGCTAATTTTTTACTAAGATTTTTATATAGTTTTGCATTTTTATAAGTTTAATATAGTTTTACTTTTCTAGAATTTTGCAGTTTTTTAATATAATTTATTAAATTTTACTTTTTTTTATTTAGAAGATTTGTAAAATCTTTAGATTTTATTTAGTAACTTTAAAGATGAAAGATACTGATAATCAGTGAATATTATTAAAATTATTAATATTTTTTTTTTTTGATAAAATATATCTTGAAGAAAAGGTAATATAATATTTAATATATAAGTGATTTGAAGAAAACTACCAAAAAAAATTTTTTTGAGTTAATGTTAAATCTGAATTTATTTTACTAAAAAATAACATTTAGCTTAAAAAGTAAAAAAAATTTTTTGGTAGTTTTTTCTCTTTCTACTGCAAAATATTTATATATATATAAGAATATTTTTTTCATTATTTTCTTTTTTATAATAAAAAAGCTAATTTATTAATATAGTAAGCATTTTATTATGATCCTTATTATACAATTAATTTATATAATTAAATTTAGATTTTTTTAATCTATGTTTTTAATAAATATGTTTACTATTGATTTTAAAACAGTTGTAATAAATATACTAAAATCTAAAATTTCTTCTTAACTAAATATGATATATTTAGAAACTTTTTTAATGTATAATAATTAAATTGTTTAGTATAAGTTACTTATATATTTTTATTAAAAATATTTCATTAATATTAATAATAATTCATTTTATAACTAAAAAAAATAATAAAACAAATATCTTTTTAATAAATACTATTTTTTATTTCTTTTAATTTTTTAACAAAATTTAGTATTTTTAATCATAATTAAAATGTATTCAAATTAATTTTTTTATCCAAAAATTTAGTTATACTATTTATGTTAATTTGTTAAGTTTCTATTAATTAGAAAATAATTTTTTTACTATTTATTTTACAAATTTACAATTTTTTATTAATGGTATTGATAATAATATATAGTAAAAATAGAATTAATAATATTTTATTTATAATTTGCATTTTATTTACAAATTTTCTAACTTTTCTTATTATTAATATTTTCATCTTTTACTTTATCAATTTCATTATCATTTTTAAAAATATAATTATTTATTTTTTATCTTAAATAATTTATGTACTTAAATAAAACTTTCAATATAAAAAATATTAAATCTATTTTTTCAAATATCAAATACAGTATCTGTTATTTTAAAATTAAATTATTAACTTTAATATTTAACAACTTTAAATCTTCTTGATTTTTAAAAAGGCTTTATCATATTTTAAATTTTCTTAAAATTGTTATTATTATCTTTTAGAAATTATTTAAATAAGTTTTTATTAGTATTAGTAAGATTTATAAATTTTTTTATATTGAAATTACAAAAGTTTATTATAAGTATATATTGAGTTAAAACTTTTAAATACTAAAGGTTCTTTTCTTGAATGAAGAATAATAATTTAAAATTACTTTTTTTAATGATTTTTGATTTTATTTATCATGAAATATACTCAAATTTTATAGTATAAATAAATTATCTTGTATAAAGTTAAATGAAATTAACATATTTTTGAAAATTTAGGTTAGTATTATAAATTTTGACCAAAATTAAGATTTAAAAATCAATATTTTAATATTATTTTAATAATTTTAGCTAATTTTAAGTTTGAAATACATAATATATACTTAAAGACCATTATATATATATAATTATATTATAATATCATAGTATGAAAAATTAGCTTATCAATTTTATAATATATATACTGATTAATAATTCTTAATATTTTTAATATTAATAATATATATATAAGTACTTTACAGTAGAAAAACAGAAACTCTGATATATTCAATTTTGAAATAAATTGAGTTTGAAATTTGTCATATGTAATCTAAACTCAAATACCAATTCTAATTCTTGAATTTTTCTCTTAAAATCTTAGTTTTATCTTAAAATCTTATTTTGAGTTTTTTTTTTTTTACAAAATAATTTTTACAGCATATTTATACAAAATATAATTATAAGAATATCACTATATAATACTATTTATTATAAATTATTTTTTATAATAAAATACTCATTATTTAAGATCTAACAATAAAATTAATAATAATAATTATATCATTTTTATTTTTATTGTATCAAATTCACTATAATGATTTTGAATAAAATGAAGTTATGTAAATATTATATTTATATTTTTTAGATAAAGTATATAGAACTTTTGCAATAAAAAAGTTGAAATTGCTAGAAAAACTCAATTTTACTTTATATGTCAAATATGATTTTATAGATTAAAATATATTCAGATTTAACATTAATTCATTTTTTATTTTTTTCAGCTGTTTTTTACTTTTCTATTGCAAATGTCCTATATAATTCATTAAAGATTATGTTAATATTTAAAATATACTTTTTATATAAATTACAAATTATTGCTATAATATAATTTGTATGATTATATTTATATGTTTCTTCTTTCTCTTCTAAGTTTATATTGTTATATTCATTGTTTAACATATAAAGCAGGTATATTTAAAATTGAATGTAACTCTATCTCACTCATATTAGCATTTCCTTTCTAATAATTTATTTGTCATCTGAGTTACCTTTGGTAATAAATATGAGATTATAGATATGTTTAAAAATTAATCAGATTAATATTTATTGAATTTTCTTGTTATTTTTTTTTTTTTTAAAAAAAAATATGGCTTAATTCTAAAATATTTAAATATTTATTGTAAAAGTTAATAGCATTTACCACTGTTATATGGCGCAACCAGTATACATCACCATCGAATCGGTGTACTACATATATAACCTTACATCTTATAATGGATTTATTAATTGTGTTGCAATTGATAAAGATGAAAGTTCTTATGTTCGGGCTTACATAATTTATGATATACCTAAATCTTTTGATTTTATAAACATTTAAATAGAACTTATCCAGGCAAATATTTCAGAAACTAGGAAGAATGGGCACTAATATCACTAATGAAGGTTGAATTATATTATATTGCAACAGGCAAGGAACTAGGAAGTCGAATTTCTGGTGGTAATCTGTTTATGTTAATAAAAAATATCTAATATTGTTCACCTGGAAGAAAAGTCGATTTAGCAATGATTTTTATAAGAATTCGCAAAGTTTTTCATATGTAGCTGCGTTTATTTATTTAAATAAAAAAGTTTTAAAGCTTATGTCTGTTTTTGTTTTATGAGGCGGTGCTACTTCTCTGAAATCATGTTACTGATCTTATGATAGAAATGAAATATCAATGCGTAATCCTAACTAAACCGTCATAATTATCGAATGATCGACGATAAATAAAAACGAAAACAATTAAAAAAAAATTCAAATTTTTGGATTTTTCAAAAGCTCTACTTATGACTGACAAAAGACCCGTTATTCTTTGGGCTCATGCAAGATCACTTTCCACGGTTTTTGAGCGACCATTTCTTCGACTTGATCGAGAATTTCATGTTATTCATGAGCCTTTTGTTCCAATTGGCCTTGCATACAGGGCGAATAACGAGAAGTTGTTAAATAGCATTCAACCACCTAAACCTACTGATCCAATTACTTTTAAGCATCATTTCACGCCCAGCCTCAATGAAATACTTGCACCTCACTATCATAATGAAGACCAGACAAAACCGTTAAGGGTATTTGTAAAAGACCTTGCTACCATCTTTTTAACCGCATCAGAAGGAAATCCGCTCCGTTCCAAAGAAGTTCTCTTAAAATTCAAACACACATTTTTAATCCGTAATCCCGAAAAATCTGTGAAATCATATTACAAAGCCGCAAATGCTACATATAAAGCTTGGGACGATGCCAACGTACCTAGTTCGGAAAGAATTGTGCTTTTTTCCGCAAACGATGTTGGGCTTAAAGAATCAAGAGCTCTTTATGACTTGATTAAAGACATAACAGAAGAAGAAATTCCCCTGGTGGATGCTGATGATTTAATTCGATACCCTGAGAAAATTATGAGAAAATTTTGTGAGATGATTGGAGCGGAATTTAGGAGAGAAATGCTCGAATGGGAAGCCGAAAAGGTGGAACATTGGGATGTAAAAATTCCAAACATATATCATGTTCCCGATTTATATAATATATGGCATAAGTAAGTTTACATTTTTAAAATTTAATTTAACTTTGATGTTTATACACACTATTATTACAAACAAATTAGAAATTCAGCTAAAAGCACCGGATTCAATAAATTTGTCCGTAAAGAGGAGGAAGAAATCGAATATCCTCAGTACGTCTATGATATCATAGATGATAATAAACCTCATTACAAATATTTGCATCAATTTAAAATTAATGTTTAAAATTGATACAGGTTGGTGTTATTTTAGTATTTTAGTCCAAGTTTTTAATATGATTTTATCATCCCTGGACAGAAAACTATTTCAACACAAGGTAAGGTTTTTTTTTTTTTTTTTTTTTATAGAATCTATTATATTTTGATTTTCATTTTAAGATTTCAAACGTATTCGTAAAATGTCTAAACTTTCTGTGTGCTACATCATGTCATATTTTTATATTTCTAAATTTTCATGAATTAAAACGATTCTTAAAGATAGATTAGAAGAATTATGCCTTTTAATCATTTGATTTGACTTATAAATCTCAAAAGTTTTTTTTTATAGGAAATTCGCTACCTATTATATTATTGGCAAACATCCTTCGATTTTTTCTAATTTATAATATTTACTTCCATAGATGAATAAAGGTTTTAAATTATGTTTTTCTTTTTTTATAACTTTAAATTCGTAAAATCATGTCCCGTTTTACATGTCAAATATTATCCAGAATTTTATTTCAATCTTTTGAATTTCAAATGCTTAATATAGCGGAAGATCCTAATATTTCTCATAATTTGAAAATTTTTAATATCTAGCAAGTACGCGATCCGGATATTATTTTACAATCCGCAGATATCTGTTAGCTAATTCATCTGGATATCCGTATTTATCTCCGTAATTATCTGCAGATAATAAATTAATAATCAAAAAAAATTTAGACATTAATTTTTAAGTAATATAAAAGAAGAAAATCAATGCGATGATTCATTCATAGAATGAACACTTCCATATTCAAATATTAAAAAATTTGGTGTGTAACTTAAATTAATAAAGAATAAATAACTATTTATTAAATCAAAAATAACAATATTACGATTATAAATCTCTTTCTAAATCTTCTCTACCCTCCTTTGATTCTCATAAATGTTATAATACAATCAATTTTTAAAAGCTCTAGAAATTAAACTTATTTTTATTTAAATACTTTTCCAATTATTATTTTTATATATTTATTATAAAAATTTTAAAATATTTATCAAGTGAAAGAAATTATTTTCTAAAACTCTTATTTTAAGTATAAAAAATAATTAATTATTAATAATTATAAATTTAGAAACTTTTTGCTAAATTTATTTATATTTTGCTTTACTTTTAAACTTATATTTTTTAATTATTATTTGTATATCAAATTATAACTATT